CGTTTACTTAGGTTTACGGGGGTTTTAGGGTTACGTTACCGACGACCCCAAACCCCCAAACCTAACTACTATCGTACAACGACCGTACGAACACTACCCCTACCCCCTCCCCTCCCTCCCTCCTCCCCCCCCCCCCTCCCCCCCCTCCCCTCTCTCTCTCTCTCGCTTTCTCGCTTTCTCCTATTCTTTATTAACATTGGTCTCACCATGATAATGTCATACCACGGGCAAACCTATAATGCTTGCATGCATATGGCATATAGGTTATCATCCCTTTGTGTTTTTTTTTCCTTTATTTATTATTATTATTATTATTTAAAGAAGCTCCTTTGTGCAAAATTTTTGGGTTGAGGTAGCCAAACCTTCACATTTGGGTGACATGGGGAAGAAACAGATTAGCTAGCAGAGCTTCTCCCTTGTTTAGAGGATTTGTTGGATACCATAGAGGATGGCTTCATGTAGGAGATTGTGATTGCCAAGTATTTGCAGGATGGTTCTGAGATGGCAATTGCAAAATACAAAAGTGACTTCCTACTTTATGGGGTTTCTATTGGGATATCTAGAGCTAAGAGGTAAATGGGTCAGGGTGGCACCCGAAGCCCCCCCCCCCATGTTTTTTTTTTTTGTCTTTTGATATTTTGATCACATCTTAGGTGACATTTTTGTCCCCTTTTCTTTTATTTTAGTTTCCTTTGAAGAAAAACTTTATCATGTAATCATTTAATATAAAATTGCTGTTGCTTACTTCCCTTGATGAGGCTGCTTTTTATTTCCTGTATCCTCTCCGCCTTCAGGTCAGGGCCATGGTATACCATCCTAGCTGTATTGGTAAAGTAGATAACATCCAGAGCAATTGGACACAGTTAAAAGCCAGTGTTACAAAGAAATAGACATGAGTGTCAGTCTCGAACACACTACTAGTAGTGTCCAATGCTGCATCTAAACAAACCAATACTGCAAGACATATCCTTGCAAATTTTTTAGAATCATAAAATTGGCTTGTATAAGATTTAGATATTTTTAATAATGTTGTTTTCATGGTGCTAAAGCAGACTGCCTCCGATAATTTGTAACAATATACACAATTTTTCGAGGTTAAAATCATTTTTTTTTTTTTAACAACTAATATATTCAAGCTGAGATGACTGATATAAAGGTTGTTTTAATACTTGAAGTGTGATTTTCGATGAATTATGAGGTGAAGCTTTACTTATTTTGATAGGGTTGTAACCCTATCAAACCATTTTCCTTAACAAAATATGTTTGGATATGGTACTGCCCAAAGATGTTATACTCCCATGGGAGTACTGTCTATTTATTCCGCCGTTGGAACCCCACCAAAGATTAATTTTAGGACCTCAAATCTTAGGGATCTAACTTCTTCAATACATAGATTAACTTCAATAAAAAAACTTTCCAATTTCACCCTTTACACACATGAAAAATGATAATGTCTCAATATTAAATAGAGACCGTCCAATTTTTAGGGACTGAGATCTAAGTGTTGTAAAACTCAATTTTTTTATATTTTTTCTTTTGAAAATAATCATCTAGTGATTCTTAAGCGGTTAGCAAAATTTTCAAATTAAAAAATATCTCCCAAATATGTCTTCTAACCGAGGGAGTAAGCAACACTCCTGTGGGAGTGTAGTATACGTGTGCTAAAGTAATAATAAAACTTGTTTAATTCCCACCAACTCTCCAGAAGAGTTCCTATTGCAGGACATTCTCCACAAATTTGGCTGAGCCGGATGAAATTTGAACAATCCAACCTAATCACCTCTAAAATTTAGTCTAAAGTTCAGTTGAGGGTTTGGTGAAATTTCGTTTAATATTTGCTCACAGCTATATAATATGGAACCTCCATAATTGCACTTAGATATGGACATATTCAAGCGGAAATTTATTCTTGTCTAGATTGCTTTTCTTTGTTTAGTACTTCAATTTTTTACTATTACCTTTTCCTCTTTACCATGATTTTTTTTCTGTGTAGGTATTGAAGCAGAAGAAACTCGGAAGCATCCCAAGCCTGGGATTCAGTGCACTGGTTTCACCTGGAGGGGAAAGTCCATTGGGCAGCTCTCAAACAGTGCAACATGCTCCACACAGATGTGTCAACTGTGGAGCCTACATAAACCTATACTCCAGCATAGTTCCGAGCTCTGGCGAGTGGAAATGCATCTTCTGCAAAAACCTAAACAGTAGCAATGGTGAATATAGGGCGGCCAGTCGAGAAGACCTTAAAAACTGGCCTGAACTCTCTTCCCCAACTGTCGATTACATTGACACAGGGAATAAACGGCCAGGATTCATTCCCGTATCTGACTCTCGAATGTCTGCCCCCATTTTCCTGGTCATAGACGAGTCCTTAGATGAAGCTGTCCTACAACATTTGCAAAGCTCACTCCATGCCTTTGTGGATTCTCTTCACCCCACGACACGGATTGGGGTCATTTCATATGGTAAAACTGTTTCAGTTTATGATTTTTCAGAGGCTTCAGTGGCATCAGCTGACTTGCTCCCAGGCAACAAATCCCCAACTCAAGACTCACTTAAAGCCCTACTATATGGGACTGGTATCTACTTATCCCCTGTCCATGCTTCTCTCCCTGTTGCTCATACCATCTTCTCATCCTTAAGGCCTTATAACCATAACTTGCCTGAGGTCTCAAGGGACCGGTGTTTGGGTACAGCTGTGGAGGTTGCCTTAGCTATTATAAGGGGCCCCACTGCTGAAATACCACGTGGATCAGTGAAGAGATCAGGTGGGAATTGTCGTATCCTAGTTTGTGCTGGTGGTCCTAATACTTATGGTCCAGGATCAGTTCCCCATTCTTTTGGCCACCCCAACTATCCGTACATGGAGAAAAGAGCTTTGAAGTGGATGGAGCATTTGGGTCGAGAGGCTAGGCTTTGTGATACAGTGGTTGATATATTGTGTGCTGGCACTTGCCCGGTAAGAACCCAGGTTTTGCAGCCGCTAGCAAAGTCCTCGGGAGGTGTTTTGGTCCTTCATGATGATTTTGGGGAGGCTTTTGGGGTGAACTTGCAAAGGGCTTCAATGCGAGCTTCAGGTTCTCATGGAATGTTTGAAATTCGGTGCTCCGATGGTATTCTTGTCAGTAGAGTCATTGGGCCTGGTGAAGAGGCACCCTCAGATGCTATTGAGACTTTCAAAGACGACTCATCTACTTGCATTCAAATGTTGGGTGTTGAAGAAACACAGAGTTTTGCTGTTTCCATGGAAACCAAGAGTGACATTAAGGACGATCACATGCTTTTCCAGTTCGCATTTCGATATTCTAACATCTATCAGGCTGAGGTATCTAGGGTTTCTACTATCAGATTGCCAACCACTGATAACTTATCGGCCTATTTGGCTAGTGTCCAGCCTGAAGTGGCAACTGTTCTAATGGCCAAAAAAACTCTTTTGCTTGCACGAACCTCGTCAGATGCTCTTGATATGAGAGTGGCAGTGGATGAGAGGGTGAAAGATATAGCTGTGAAATTTGGGTCTGTGCCTGGTAAATCAAAGCTTCACCAATTTCCCAAGGAGCTTTCAACGTTGCCTGAGAATTTGTTCCACCTTAGGCGCGGGCCTCTTTTAGGGAGTATTATTGGCCATGAAGATGAGAGATCGGTACTGAGAAATATATTCTTGAATGCTTCCTTTGATTTGTCGCTAAGAATGATAGCACCTCGTTGCTTGATGCATCGAGAAGGGGGAACTTTTGAGGAGTTGCCTGCATATGATCTTGCCATGCAATCGGATGCCGCAGTTGTCCTTGACCATGGAACTGATGTCTTCATTTGGTTGGTAGGTCATCATATCTGGCCTGATTTCTGTTTGATTTTCTTCAAATTCATTCTTGATATTGTTCTTTATATTTGTTTGATGTATATATACTATGATCTAGTGACATGCTCCAAATAATTGTGCAATTGTTGTATATATCCATGTATTGTTGTTTGGAATTGAGGAGTGCTATTGATGTTTCATTCTGTTGTGCAAACCCTTCGTTCTTTGACAATTTTCAGCAGAATTTATCCAATTTAACATGCACAATCAAGAGTAGACGATTTAAGTCGAAATATCTCTTATCTAGAGACTGGATTTTCATACTCTTTTTGTGTTGCTGGCTTGAAATAGAATAAAATTTTGAGCCTTCAAGGTACTATCAAAACCATATACCCTGAGATATTCTGCCTTGAAAGAGTTGCAATTTGCAAACGAAGTCAGTATTTAAGAATGCGGAGGTGGCCACCTAAGCAGGTGCCCCATGTTCAAGCCACACCAAAACAAAGGGGAGAGGGGGGTGGGTGGGTGTGGGTTTGGGGTCTCAAGGGTGTTTGGAGTGGGGGCTGCAAGCTTGGGTTGGATTCCAAAGCCTCCTAATTAGACTTAAATAATAAATAAATAAATATACATGCTTTTAAAATGTGTTGTGTTTATTATGGTGTATCATGACAGATGCATACTGAGTTTGGAACTTGAATTAGTAAAACTTTGGAGGATTGAAACTTGCCCAAACTTGAAACTTGAACTTGAAATAAGATAATATTGAAACCCAATCAAAGTTAGCTTTAATTGGTGAGCTCTGGAGAAACCTCTTTTGTCACCACGTCAAGTCTCACAAATGATCGGCTTTTATACTTTTCAATTTCGCTAGAAATCCTAAGTACCAAGAAATTTCCCAATCATCAAAACATCTCAATCTTGTGTTTGATGCCCCAGCCCAAGGGTCATTTTCTTCACTCTGCCAGGGGGTATTGAGGTGCCTGCCTTTGCCTATAAGGTTGGTCTAGGCACTAGGCAGTCGCCTTTTATAGGGCCTTGCCCTAGGGGCCCGGCTGTGCTGAAGTTTAAAACCATGAGCTAAGTTATACAAAAATTGAGCTCTGGTGCATGCTATAGTGTTTTGTGTCAACATGAGTATATGACATTATTTTCTCTTTATATTATCATATCATATGCTGAGCTACTGCATGCAACAAACATGCCCAATGCATTTGGTATTCAAACAAAAAAATGGTCTTTAATGTAGGTGTATTATTCACCAGCATTAGATGCAACCAAAATAAAAGCAGGTATTTTTCATTGTGAGGTTAAATGGATTTAGAGATTTATTTGTGGCATGTTTCAGACAAGTGGGTTCAAAAAGTGGAGGAAGACAAATATGTTCTGGATGAGATGAAACCCAGTGTGTTAAAAAATTAGAAGTAGAGACGCATAGTTGTCTACCCAAACACACCCTAACTCTTCACTCAGAAATCTCAATCTTGCTATAACTTTGCTTTTGACAAATTTGTAATATCAGTCTTTTCTTTTACCCAAAAAAGATATACATTATTTTAGTTGTACTCCTGATCCTATTGAATTCCATACCAATTGAAGGAGTGCCGTGACCTTTCCTGTTGGTATTCACATGGAAGGGACGGATATTCCCCCCCCAATGAATTACTTAAATCCATTGCCATTTAGATCCATCACTATCCAATGAAATGGACGACAGAGTGGGACCCACCAAAACAGGACATAACCCAATGGTGGGTCCCATTCTTTTTGCCACCACCTTATAGTACGTAAAAATAAAATATATTTTGATTATTTTCCCATTCGGAAGACATTTTCATGTGAAATGGACTGTGCTGGACTGCCTCCATTTCTTATCGAAGGTTATTTTGACCAAACCAGATTGGCTTCAACTTGCTTCACCATGTGAAGCCTATCATATGCAAGGCATTTTTTTATGAGACATATGGGTGTATGTCAATTGAGAAATGATGATTGCCAATTGGTTCTCTTGTTATTCTATAGTGAATTTTTATTCGATATTTTTCCCTTTGTTTTCTTTATTGAGTTTGGAAGGCATGGTACTTTTCCTTGATCTTTATTTAAATTTTGATTGCAGTGTAGCATATCTTAGTCATCACAAATTTATGGTTTCTAATTTCTTGAGCAGTTATGAGTAATTTACCAATTTTACACTAATATAAGCCTACTTAGCCTAGCTATTTTACATTGGAAGGCACACCCTTCTATTATGAATTTGAAGTCATACCCTCCTCCTTTCAGAAATTCATACCCTTCTGTTATAAAGAGCATATTCTTTTTATTGGTGCAAGATTGGTTCCTATTGCTGAACTACCCCAAAGAAAAAAAAAAGCATTTGCTTAAATAGCATATCTATCAATATGCCTGGTAACCATGTAGGGTTATTTACTATTAACATGGATTGATATTGACACTTTCACCTATGTGTATTGACTGAGAGGCTCTTATTTGATGGTTCATAGGGTGCTGAACTTGCCACACAGGAAGCAAAGAGTGCAGCAGCTCTGGCAGCCTGCAGAACGCTGGCCGAGGAGCTCACTGAACAACGATTTCCTGCCCCTCGAATCCTTGCTTTTAAAGTTTGTCCTCCACTACTTGCTGCTCATTTCTGATTTGCTCATAGCTTATCACTATTTTTTGTTGTCGTTGTTTTGTTGTTGTTGTTATCATTGTTCAGAAGCTAGCATTTTTTCATATGTTAATAGGGTGTAATTGGAACTCTTGATGTCATGTTGTAGCTTCGCCCTGCTGACTGCCATGCCAAGACTCCGTTTGGGAGGATGGGGCTGGCATTTAGAACCATATTTTTAGTAACTCCTCACTTAGAGAGAAGATGTGTAATCTATGGATGGGTGTGGTTACTAAAGATGTCAGTATATTATTATTGTTACAATTTCTGTGGATAGATGTGGACATAGGCATCAAAATAAGCAACTACTGGAAAAATAGATGCACATCAAATTAAGTGAAGCTATTTTGTTTCTAAAAGGGCAATGTACACTAGTAGTCCAATGGACTATAGAAAATCACAGTTCCTAGGGGTAATGGCCATTCGAAGTGATGAATCATAGTGGAGATATAAGCCTAGGAATCTTGATTGGGTCTCTCCCTCTCTCACTTCATAGGATGTCATGCCCCAAATGGGCTATGTTTTTCCCACGGCCCTTTGGACTATTGGTCCATTTTCCCTTTTAAAAGTACTCCTTTAATAGAAGGGTGTGGTTTGTATAGGGCTGAGGCCCAAACAATCAAAGTAAGGTGCACCTTTAAATAGTGTCGGAATATGTTTTTCGGTATTGGAAATCTTTGTGACTTGAAACTTTATTTTCATATTTAATTATAAAGTTTAAAGCTTCAAAAATAGTGTACATAGAGCAGATATATAAACTCTTGAAAAATCTTGAAAATTGACCGTCCAAAAATACATCACAAGATGGACTCTTTTCAAGGCTTAGAATGCACTTTTTCTCATGTCCATACATCTTGAGGTTCAGATGATCGATTTGAGGATTTTTGGACATCAAAATAACTTTTTGTATTAGATTTTTTGAGGTGCGTTAATTTAATTGTTTAGGGCCTTACCCTTATATAAACTTTTTCCGTACTAGAAAACCTAGTGTCTTGTTGTATATCCTGCAGTCTTTACACTCAAATATGCAAATGTGGATGCTCTTTGTATTTATTTTTACTCTTTCAATTTATTAGTGAACTGCCTTGCAAAAATTAGCAGAGCAGGGTAGTGAGAATTGGTTCCAAGACTAATTGTTTTGTGGTATTTATGATGAATTTGCTGTTACAGGAGGGTAGCTCTCAAGCTCGATATTTCGTTTCAAGATTGATACCTGCACACAAGGATCCTCCTTACGAGCAGGTTACACACCCCCCTACTCTTTGTTCCAGTGCATATTTACCACACACATACACATTAAGGACTTCTTACACCCTCCTTATCTGGTATTCAGGAGGCAAGGTTTCCACAGCTCCACACTCTCAGTAGGGAACAGAGAGAAAAACTAAAGAGCAGTTTCCTCCATTTTGATGATTTTAGCTTCTGCGAATGGATGCGTAGCCTTAAACTGGTGCCACCTGAGCCTAGTTAGCAGTTGCTTCCTTAACATCCTTTTGATGGTTCTACTACTATTTGAAGGTGCCCAACACCAGGCAAGAAGGCATACACATTTTTTGGATGACAATTTACAGATAGCAACAGTAAAAACAATTCTCAGATTTTTTCTTTTCAAAGTTCCTCTCTCTCTTTCTCTCTCTCTCGGGTGTCTGTGAGGCTTGGGGGGACAATGAGTCACTTCGTCCTTTGTTCCTTTCATACTTCTTGTTCTTTTAATGACAGAATTTTTTGCAGAAAGATACTTCGACATTGCCATCCCATTTTCTGTTATTATAGAGTTGGGGTATGATGAAGGAAACAATAAAGATGGCAATATGAAACGGTACCCTTATGTTATTTTTGGGTGAATAATAAGTACACCCTTTGTTTGGAAACAATGACTTCATTTATGCATCATTTAGCCATTGAAATTTGATGTTGGTCTATTGGTCTGGTGAAAGAACCTGTATCAAACTGGATCCTCTCTCTCTCTTTCTCTCTCTATCTCTCTCTATAACAAGGGTTCTCTGTCTCTGTCTGAATTGCTGTAGACCTATTATTTCTCTTTTAAAATGCGTTGTACGCATCCTGCTCCTGTGTAGAACGAAGTATAATTTGGCTTTTGTGCAAATAAGAAGATAAATGTGCACCTGTTCTCATGTAGTCAGCCGACCCTAGGTAGTTAGGAAAAAGATGAATTCTTAGTTTACCATAATCCGTCCGAACTATCTCTATTCCCCATAAACAAATACTTTATTCTCATTCACATTGTCTTTTAGTCTCTTTGCTTAATAGAAGAGAAAGCACTTCACAATTTTTCTGTAGAGAAGAGAAAGGTTTGCTAGGTAAATATTTGTAGATAGAAAGGAAGAAAGAAGTTTGTTTGCATAAATTCTATTTACAAGGGATGGTATTGCGTCCACAAGCTGTACATGCTTTTTTCTTTTTTTCTTTTTTTATTCTTTTTTTTTTAAAAAAATTATATTAATATGAAACTTGGGTTTTGGTTTTATTTTTATGAAGTAGAATTAGGGATGGCAATGGATCCAAACCTGACCCGGGACCTGTCAAGTATATACCCGACACAAAATTGGGTATGGGTCCAACATTTGGACCTAGAACCGGACCTGTACCTGTAAACTGTTGGAGATAAATTACTTCAAACCCTATTCGTTTTGGTATATGAAGGAGTGTATACAATAAGAAATCATAGTCATCTTTAGCTATTAAACGATAAGTCAAGAGGCTTAAAATCTAATGACGGGTGATTGTAACTTTGTTGTTAATAATATGGGTAAACAATGGTGAAAAAAAAAAACTCAGTGAGGGTGGCAATATTCTCAACTAGACCCGGGACCTGTGGGTATGAGTAGGGATCCAACTTTTGGAACCGACGAGTTGGGTCGGGGTTTAAAACCTGGTCTGGCTCTAGGCCCAATCAAACCCGACCCTTGCCACCTCTAAGTAGAATTGAATAAAAAAAATTTTTATTTTAAATAAAAAATATTGATCAAAATAATTTTTGGGGTATTTCCGTCATTTTTATTTCAAATATTTTTTGATCATTTTTTTAATTATATTTATAAAAGTAAACCTTAACCTCAAAATTCAAAGAAATATTTTATTTAAATAAAGGAAAAATTTTATATAAGGTTGCAACTTCAAAATGTTGAATTAAAAGATGCTACTAAAAAATCCATCGGAAAAAGTTGTTTTAATGTTGAAAAACCCTCTAATTGATTATCTCGATATTTATATGTAAAGAAAAAAAAACAAAAGATTTTGAGTCCTAGAAATAGTGTATCTTGCAACACATTATCTAGACGGTCCATTTTCCACATTATCTGGACGGTCCATTTTCAAGATTTTCATATGTTTATAAATCTACTTGATTTTAACTATTTTTAGAGTTTAAAATTTTATAATTAAATATGAAAATAGATTTTAAGATAGTCCTAAGAATTTTTTACACCAAAATTACATGTTAAGATAAAATTTGGAAATGCGCCTTAATTGGATTATTTAAGGTTGCAACCTTAATAAAACCACACCCAAATATAAAATACTGAAACTAATTTTTAACCATTAGATAAGCACCCGTCCACATGATATGGACGGGATCCTTTTCCGGAAACAATCTAACTAGAGAGAAAAAAAATAAAGACTTGATCTTGATGTAAGTGCTTTGCTGTCTTGGTTAAAAGACATGCTAAGTGTATTTCGAGGACCACCAATTTTGGGGATATAACTTCTCGAATTTAATAACCAATTTTAAAAAAGAAAAAAAAATCAAATTAAACATTATATGTGCTAATAAAAGAAATAGTGTCCCAGATTAAATAGGAAACATCCAATTTGTAGTGTACAGCATGCTCCCACGGTAATTGCAAGCACAACGTTTTTTTTCCTTTTCAAATAATTACAAGCATAACCTTTTTTGCCCTTTTTTTTTGTGTGAAAATTGTAATTTGTTTAGGTGCCATTTATTTTAGGTAGATGCTTTTATAGTGGCAGTGAGAAAAGCAGGATTGCCCAACATTAATATAGCACTTCATGAAACTGGCTGGCCTGCCTTGTCCGAGTCCCATGTAGCAGGTGCAAATGCTAGGGATGGCAATGGAACCAGACCCAACCCGAGAGACGACGACAGGTCCGGGTATAGGTCCAAAATATGACCTGGCAGGTAGGGTATGGGTCTAATATCATTATTCGAATCCGGGTCTGGATCCATGTGGACTCGACGCAAATAATGTCATTAATTAAATAATATATAATATTTTAATCAAATTTATTTTTAGTTGTAATATTTAAATAATACATGTATATATTTGCCATAATATTTAAATATATATATATTTATTTATTTTTGGGTGGGATCCAATCGGGTTGGATCTGAATCCAGCTGGACCCGACCCAACCAATTCGTGGCCACCCCTTACCCTTCAAATGCAGCAACTTTTTAATGGGAGGGTGGAAATCAAGGCTTAAACCTTTTTAAGTTACGCACCCAAAGCTCATCTTGAAGGCCCAGCATCCTAATTCCAATTTTTGTTTTCTCTCTTCAATTAAGACCAAAAGCCAGGGCCTTTTATAGAGAAATCGGGGCATCATGTATCCTAAAATGAAATAAAGCCTCACCTCAAATCCCCATACCAAAAGCACTTTCGGCAACAAAAAAAACTCCATAATGGCTCTAAAATCAATTTCCAACACCGGCAATAAAATTCGAAACTCAAATAATGGTACAAATCTGAACTTATTTTTAGGACGAAATGGACCGTCTAAATAATTGGTTGAAATATATATAGTATTTTAAAAGCTTGAAATCTTTTTTTTTCACAACCATAATGTTCAAAGATGATCGATTTGAAGGTCTTCCGATGCTTGAATTACAATTTTCAACGAGTTATAAGGTGAGGCTTTACTTATTTTGATACGGCTGCAGCCTATCAGACTACTTTCCTTTTATTATTTGCAGCCTGATCCAGACTAGGAAATCGCCAGAATCAAACAGGCGGAATCAAAATCCAACCCCTGGCAATTCAAACCAAGATCGAATTTATAAAAACACTGGTTTATAGATTCTCGTTGGTATAGACTCCAGGGATAATTTTTTTTGCTATCTTTTTTTGAAAACTGCCTAAGGTTTCGAATAAAAAAATAAAATGATTTTTCATTATCCCAATTGAAATAATGAACCTCCATACTGCATCCAATTTTACAATTACGGTACCGTTTGGGTACGTGAAAATCTATTGCGTGACAATATATTTCAATTTTACAATTACGGGACCGTTTCGATACATAAAACTCTATTGCATGACAATATATTATAAGAAAATATGATATTTACATTGTTTAGATACACTTTAATAATAATGAAATACCGAGATTACCCAATATTTCCCCAAAAATGGGATGACATTAACCACGATTACTCAAAATTTCCCCGAAAATCACAAAATCCATTAACCGGGGTGAAAAATCTATTCCGATGTTGACGGGTGATTACTCAAGATTTCCTCAAAAATCACAAAATCCGGGGTAAAAAAAAATCTATTCTGATGTTGACGGGTAATCTTTGGAAATCTTTTTCACATGCGGTCTTTTTGCACTACCCCGTTTAAAAAACCATTCTCAAGTATTGTGTATTGTATAATTATTAAGGTAGGTAGAAAGTGAAAGCAAATGATATGAAAAAGAGAATCTAAATTGATTTGAACAAGTATACCAATTTTCTACTGCAATTATAATAAAAAAATTCTACATCCCTTTATCCCCAATCCCCGCTTAAAAAACCATTTTCCTCTCTCACGTATACACTGTATTGTATAATTATTAAGGTACGTAGAAAGTGAAAGTAGAAGATACAAAAAGGGGAATCTAAATTGATTTTAACCGTCCCTTTATCCCCAATTTGGGTTGGAGCCCTCATCTTACTCTTATATAAAAAGAAATTTTTTTAATGGGTTGTAGCCCTGATCTGACTTTCATATAAAAACAAAATTTTGTAATAATTGGTAAGTAAAAGTCAAGGAAAATCTAAATTGATTTGAACATTTGTACAACTTGATGAGGCACAATTTTCTGCTGCAATTATAATAAAATAAATTATACATCCCTCTATCCCGAATTTAGGTGGTAGGCCGCTATATAAAAATAAAAATAAGAATAAATTACACAACACGATCATGATAAAAAATTTCACACAACATAATCCTCATAAGAGATTAGTAAAAACTTAATTGAAATAATATAACTTTATAGTCTCTTATAATGCTTCAAAATTTTCCACTGCGATTACCAAACCTTATAGTTTACTTAATCAAACATCTTCCCATTTTTAACTTGTACCGTAAAGATTTTGATTTTGGTATCATAAACTTATCATTTATTTGAAATTATATATACATAGACATTTGAAAAACTTCTATAAAAAATAAATAAAAATAAGGCTTCTCACAATAAAATCATGTTATTCCAATCATATTATTCCAATGACTTATCATGTTGAAACCAAAGTCTAATCATGTTATAGCCAAACATAGCCATGTTTTTCATATTTGGATGATAATGCATTTATCATATTTCTTCCCGACATAGCCAAACAGTAGCAATGTATTTCCCAAGTTGCATCTAAATACTACCCAAACACTCAAACACCCAAACAGTGAAAATTCATTTGCAGGTAATGTATTACGCAGTAATGTATTACGCCCATAATATATTTCACAGACAATATATTTCCAAGTATCCAAACAGCTCCTAAGTGTAAATACTAATTTGCTCTTTTGTGTTATGGCATATTTTGGATTACAAGTTAATCGGCCATATGTGAATATATCAATATAATGAAAGTGGCATGGTCCCCTTGAGTAATTTGATCAACATACCATGAACCATCATGGACAAATGAATGGGGAAAAGGTCAAGTCTGGGTCCAGGTCCGGATCCGGATCCGAATCCGGGTCCAGTGATATTTTTCGGGTCTCAATATATGAAATATATTTAAATATAGTCAAATACATAGTATAATTTTTGGGTCGGGTCCAGGTCCCTCACAAAGTCTTCGGGTCTGGTGAATTTAGGTCCAGTTGGGTCCGGGTCTCATATCATTTTTTAGGTCTGGGTCAAGGTGGTCCCAACCCCACTCCACCCCTATTAAAGAACACTAACCCATGCTTCTTTGGTGGCTCATAGATGTCATTCTAAAACCTCCGCTTTTTTAATGGTTATTTTATATTGAAACCTGACCCTATTCACTTAGAGAGCATGATTTGATTGAGCAATGTAATTTTAAAAACTTTGGAGAAAACCATTAAGGTTTTATAGGAAGTTAAGAACAAAGTTCAAGAGAGGGATCCCATCAAATGCATATGAATGTACTGCTATATTTGCACACTACCTAGGCGATGACCGCAATGTAATATGGGATCAAAGTAAATTGAAAAAGAACTTTAGGAAACTAACCTAGCTTTTGAAAGAAATTAAACAAAAGTTATTTAAATTGAATAAAATAATAAAAAATTAAAAACTAAAAGTAGATAGAAAAAAAAAAAATACTCAGTATAGATATCTGTGGTCCTTGATATATAATACAAAGCAAAAGCAAATCGAGTCAGAATGAATATATGATATTTGATTGAAGAGTGTATCCACAAAATAAGAGTATATAAATATATGAGCCCGGATCACAATGTTTTATGCTGCATTTTGGTAGAACTCGGTGTATATGGAAGACGATTATGGTGTATAAAGGATATATAATTTATAGGAGATGGGTTTGTGGAAAACAAGTTTTTGGCTGGTCAATCAAGGTTAGATCAAAAGAAAAAGGTCCCTAAATTTGTGCCTAGAATTGAATGGATGAAACTGGGTTCCTAGGGTTTAGATCCAGGGTATTAATAGAAGGTATAGCTAGGATGGGAAACTATCACTAAATTTTGGGTTTTGTAGTTCCTAGGAGTACTTTGGTTATAAAAATATATATGGGATCAAGAGGGTTGTTATGAGAAATTATTGGCAGGAAAGCTAGGGTTCTCTCTAAATCTAAACTCTTAATCTTTCTGAGACAGTATTTATGGGCCACATTCTGGACAGTAGGGTTTTGAATCAATGGCCTAGCTTTACTCAATAACATGTCAAACCGCCTTACAATGCTTCTGAAACTCTAAAATGCATCCTAAGCATGTCCGCCTAAGTTGTATTATTTCATACGAAGTGTGGCAGATCTTGTGCTGTGTACGACAAACGTTGTGCTTTGTGCAGCAAAGATGTGTCATTCACGAGGCAAATGTATCATTCTGTACACCAGTTCAGTGCAAAGGTAGTAACTTTCAAAAGGTAAAACTTGGACCATATGAAAGTTTATTCAGTTCCCTCTAAAATAGCAGAGATTTAAAGTCATATAGGTCATTTTTTTCCTAGGGATGAATTCTAACTGTTTCTCAGGGTTCATAAGATTATTCTAGTAGGCCGGTGACCTAGGGTGTATCGGAAGACATCAACAAATGTCTAAGGACACTATATGTGACTTACGCATTATATGATACGTAACAATAACCAGTCACATTTCAGGTATCTACAGTTGCTCCTCTTTAATGCTTATTCAGTAACACGAGTTGAATAAATATCAAATAAGAGATATATCAAGCAATATTACATATATATGAAAATGACCTTTCTGATCATCAAATATATGTTAGTGTTGCTTGTGTATCACATGGATGACTTGGTTGGCCACTGCCAAATGCGACGATATGTGACTTAAATCCCCATGAAATGAAACATGCTGCTCCTCATGAAATGAAACATGCTGCCAATCAAAAAAAGATATTTGAATCCTCATGGCATGATACTGGTTGCCATTTGAAAAAAATTGCAAGTATGCATATTGCCTTGAACTCAGGATGCAAATAAAGAACGTGACATCAGATTTATAATTCAAGATCCTCATATAAGCATAGAGTAAGTTTAACCATGATAAATTTTACGAGCTTCAAACAAATCATACATTTCTCAAATCAAGTTTGGCTCAAAATTTCAGGATGGTGCCATCATGCTCGACTGCATCTAGCTCATTAGTTTTAGAAATTTATTTATGAAAGATTAAAAAACATGAAGCACAAGGGCTTTAAAAATAATCCACATTAGAGGTTCCAAAAAGACAAACATAATGCTTTGAAAAATAATGTGAACATACTCACCAACCTAGGAGGAATTGTAGTCTTGAATAAAGTCTTCAGACACCATTCTGTCCCTTCTTCATGCTACACACATTCCCTGTGGACCAAAAAAATCTATATAATCCCATTTTGGGACAATTTTGTACTCCGATGTGGATTCCTAATTAACTGTGATGCACACATTGTAAAGCAAGCTCCTTTATGATATCAAAAGCTCCAACAGAATGATCATATGAAAGTCAACTCACATGAATGATATCTCTAATCTTCTCCAACATCTCTGCAAACTTATCCACCACTCATATACAAACATTTTGAAGGCAAAAGCAACCCTCACAAAAGAACCACCGAATAGAGCCGCTGGCGGGCATTGGCTGGCCCACGGGCTTTCAGGAGAGACCCAGTTTCAGCTGGTTTGGGACTCATGTTAAGGACCGCAGTATGGGTTGGGCCTCAGTATGGGTTGGGTCGGGCTAGCATTGGCCCAGCCTGAAAAATTTTAAGACATATATTATATACAATTTTATTTTTATATTGTTTTTGTTTTTTTTTGAGAAATTTATAATGTACATATTATATATATTAAATATGTTTTCTATCGACAAATTTATAATGTATATATTAAATATGTTAAATATGTCTTCTTTTCATATTAATATAGGGTAAGGCCCAGCCCAGCCCAGTCCATTTTCCTCACTATCATGATTTTGGGTCGTGCCCAGCCCAAAACCAAATTTTTGGTCCCATTCCTACCCTACCTTGTTTCAGACCAGGCTTGGTCCAGGGATGGCCCTATCTGAACCCAAACTGTTACAGCCCTACCACCAAATCCCCAATGGTAGATTTCTGTTTTTTAATTAGTAATTAAACAAATTTTATTGGACCATCAAGCCCCCCATGGACTTAGCAAAGGACCTTCATTGCATCAGTTGGACGTCAAGAGAATCATAGAGAAAAGACTGTGGGAACTCCATATTCCATGCACTCCAGCCATGGATTGATAAAACAAAGAAAAACACCAAGTAATCAGAGTACAGCTTCGATTTCAATTAGGGAAGCAAAACTTGTGACAGATGTATAACTGCAAATAAAAGCAAGAAGAAACCAATAAATGATATCATTCACAACCTGTGGCAGATACATTTAACAGCCAAATCAGAAACCAGAAAAAAAGATATACAGATGTACAAACTTACGGATTCAGGGACTTGTTAGAACCGATTGAAAAAAATCCACACCTCCAATGTAAACTTAGGCTATCACAAGCTTAAAAACACCAAAGACATAAGATGCCATTGATTAAACCATACCAGAGGACCCCCATAATCACATATTTGGAAAGTCCCACATCCATCACCAAGGAAGAAGAAATCACCTGCACCAAATCATGAAAAAATAAATGCCAAAAAAAAAAAACAATAAAGAAGAGAGAAAAGCCAAAACCAATAAAAGAAAAAGAAACATGAGAAAAAATATATATATGAAAGAACCAATAAAGAAAGTCGAGAAGAAGAGTCCACCTGAGAGCCTCTAAATAAAGTAATTGAAAATAATCATATACTTACCAAGGAAATAATATGTGAAGGAAATCAATCTAACGTGGTTCAATAAGAAAAACCCAACCGAGATGATCAGATCACATGACATGTCAAGATGCCAGGATCCTTGCAATGGTTATAGATATGTTGACAAAAAACACTAAAAAATCAGTCAGCTTCTAGCTTGGAGAGACTTCAAAGATGCATTAGCCTGCTGCCTAGTATAAAATTCAGTGAAGTCCAGCCGAAAGAAAAGGAATTTGAGATCAACGTGTTGCTGCACAGGCAACTGAGCAATGAAGCCATCGAGCAGCAAAGAATACTCATCAGCAATGCCATCCATCTCTTCTCCCATTTTACGTATAAATTCTCCAGTGACTTGTGACATAGCTTTTCGACCACCAACCCATGCACCTGCTCTTTGTCGCTCATTTTTTGATCTTGATCTTGACTTACTACCCTCTCTGAAACAATTGAAAAAATTCCATATTCAATCGATTACCAACAAGATCGCATCAATATATGAAGAAACCAAAGAAACAAAAAGAAATGCTCCAGTATAAGATGTGAATCATAGTTGCAAACTATGGCATTATTTCATATAAATTTGCTAACTTTCATGAGTTAAATCCTAATCAAGTTGAACTTTAAAAACCCAGCTGAAAATCTAGGGTAGTAAGATCCTGGATATGCAGCTGGAAGTTTTCCAAAGGAAAAGTTCAAGAAAGGCCTTGGAGAAAGAGTCAGTACATAGTTCCTTTAACAATGGTAATTTCACTTTATCATTTTTCTAACCTTTGACAAGTTTTATTTTTTTGACAAAATTTGTGTCATATTTCCCAATTCCATAAGATCCCTAGGATTCAGGTTCTCAAATACTGTCAAAAAATAGAGTCTAGTGACAATTGTATGATCCATGCAGGCCCAGTATAACAAATAAAACAAATGATAAATATAAACAAATAATAATAAAAATAACAGAAACAATGTGGAATACCTTGCTTGCAGGTCATGGAGACGTTCATATAATCGGTCGGCATGACTTCTGAACCTCAGTATGAGCTCAAAGAGGACAAAGAGAGTTTTGCAAATGTGTTGAGACCTCTCTCCCAAAAGTGACTTCTCCACGATTGAATTCAGATACTTCTCATGAGCAGCAAGCAGGTCATCTAGGTCCTGAGCCTCCTCCATCTCCTCCAAGAAACAAGACCATGACACCTCAAGAACCTCAAACATTATATAATACTGAAGATTTGTGACAAAATGGTTCATCTCATCCCAAAGCACCTGACATCTTCTGAGTATGGCCACAAACCTAACCTTGACCCCAGCATCCATGGACAAGAGCTGAGAAATTGCACAATTGGGTTTCATAACTTTCCATGCACCAATCAACGCATGCTCCACTCGCCTCAACTTCCAAAGAAAATTGAAAATTCGGAGATATTTTGCCATTACAAACTCTGTAAACACAGTATCAAGGGGTACCCTCGTATTGTATTCAAGAGAAAATACATCCCAGCCCCTGTCGCCTGAACCATGAGGCATCATCTTCACCCTCAATCTATCCAATATATCGGGGTCATCATACTGTGCATTGGAGGCTCGAATAGCACTTTCTAATAACCCCGCCAGCTTAAATGAGCTGATTGTATTAGCAGGCTCTGAAAGTTCAGGACCCACAATATCCATTAAATACTGGATAAAATCACCTTGCCCAAGAAGCAAATATCGCTTAATTGCAAGGCAATGCTCCTTGAACTTGAACTTCTTGCACATAACATCGATCAGATGCTTATCGATTCTCTTTGCCGCTTCAATAACAAGAGCTTCAAGGGCCTCTGTCTCCCCATATCCAAGCTCACCTCTCCTAGTGGTGGCCCCAACAAGGGGAGCACCAGCCCAGTCTTGATCCTCACAACAAACACGAAGAAAATTGATCGATTTTCCAGTCCTTAATATACGTTGAGCTAAATGCTCTGATATAAAGCCTGGTAACATAGAAGCATTGACCTGATACCTATCCCTCCAAAGTGATTCAGCCTTAACTGTCTGACTCACAATGAAAAATTCTCCATAAATATCATTTAGCTCTCCCTCTAAAACCCAAGTTCTGACCATTTCAAATAGCGGGGAGCAAACCCTTCGAAGAAGCCTGACCCATAAACTCCTGAAACAGAGGATCTCCATGTTGGGCATGGACATGGATGGCTCCAGCCATGGCCCCACCTCTCAAAACCCTAGAATTGTCGACAAGAACAGCCATCAGCCGCATCCTGGTTGTTGGTTCAGTGAGCCAAACGGATAGCCTTCGAAGAGAGAGATAATTTCCGGAACTGCTCTCTGAAACCAGAGGAATGGGATTAAGAGATTGGGTTTCGAGAACAGCTAAAAGCCTGTAATAATCAGATAGCTCATCATGTAAAGCTGCACAAAATGCTTGACCCACTGTTCCAATCTCGTCAGCAGGGAACTTCTCCATGCTATCTGAGATATAACCTCTCACCTTTCGGAAGAGCCAACCTAATTCACAAAGCTTCATGACCAAAACCCTAGTGGCTCGAGGAACCCTAATTGATTCTGGCAACACGTATCCATCAGATTCTATATCGAACCTCACGTATCGACCATCAATTCCCTGACAAGCATAGATGATATCCTTAACCAGAGCACTCTCTGAAACCTCAGTTTCATCACGTAAAAGAACCGAAAATTCTCTGAAAGCAGCTTGTCGAATATTTTCAGGATCCTTTGAGAGCAATAAGACCCCCCCAGTTGAAGAAACCTTTTCTCGATCTGAAACCCTTTCCCTATCTCTGGTAACAAACTTAGAATTCTCATAATGATCCCTTTTAACAGAGTTTTCATTACCAAAAATAGCAGGAAGTCCACCATTAGATGCAGAAGCTATACAACTAGGTGAAAGCGAAACCCTGACCCTAGATTCAAGTTTATCCTTGCTTTGATCCTGTGATATGACCTTGAGAAGATAAAGAACTGACCATTTATTGCTTATGGTTCCTGGACCAGATTTAGAAGAGAACTTGGAGTAAAGATCAGCAAAAGCTAGGGCATCAGATGACCTACCTTCAAGAACAAGCTGACGCTTTATTGACTCAGCCATGGCTGCTTCATCAGCTGCAATAGAAGGGGTCATACGACTGCTGAGGATACGAGAAGCATACTTGTAAGCCTTCTCTGCATATTCTGGAGACTGGTTAGTAATGGTGGCTGGAAGGAGGCGGAGGACTACGTCTCGAACCAATTCTGCAAGCTCCTTCTCCTCCATTGCTTGATTATTTGGATCCCACTGGCTAAAGCATGGTGAGGGTTTAACGCCAAAACCCTAATTTCCAGTTGAAAAGTAAGGAATGCAGGTGACTGTGAATCCTGGAAACTAAATCCCCGAGTTTATAAACATTAATGAGCCCAATGAATCAGAAGCTGATGGTGAAGGAGCCATGGTTCGGAAAAACCCTAAGTTTCAGAGTAAAGCAGGGGTTGCAGCATTTGTTTAATAAGGAGAGAGAGGAAAGATTAAACCCCAGTTACCAGCTCAGAATCAGGAAATTCAGAAGCTTGAAAATCCTTTAACTAAAGCCTAATTCGCAGAAAGAAGCAAAACCCAGAGTTGCAGAACCATGGAGGACAAAACCTAAGTTCTAGGCTGAACTAGGAGGTTGCAGGTGCTTGCGGTCCCGATCCACCGAAGAGCTGAGACCTAAATCTTTTGAAATCCTGACCTAATTTAGAGGGAGAAAGAAGAAGCAGGTGAAACGATCAGATCCAATGAACTTAAACCCTAAAAATGAAGCAGAAGAGTTGCAGGAAAGCTTCGAGTGCAGGCGCGTAAATCGTAAGGTTTTTTTTTAAATTGGATTTAATGGATGGTCATGCATTGCCCCTGAGAAATATGGTAATACCGTGGCTTCACCTTCATATGTAACAACGTGTGATTTAAAAAATGGATTGGTGACTACGATCGGGTCGGAATCACAGTTTACTGATAGCGAATCTGTGAAAAAATACGCGCAAAAACGGTGAACCAGTCAAGAACTGGCATGGATCGGTGAATCGGCATTTTTTTTGTAGTAAAATGGCATTTTTACTGCAGCAAAACAGTATTTTAGTATGGCAAATCGTCGGTTCTCTTCTAGACTCAGGTGATTTCCAATATATTTACAGAACTCACAGAGTGAGAGATTCTAGGATCGGACCGGGCAATTCCACGCTGACCATTGTGTATAACTAATAAAACAAGTAAAAAATAAAAGAAAAAATTTATAGAAGATTGCAATCTTATAATGTAGAAGTAGGATGCATATCAAAAAATTAGTAGCGGATAGATTCTGAAGTTGAGAATTCTTCCTAGTAATCATCTCGACCTCAAAATATATAGATATATAAAAAAAAACTCAAATTCCAAAATTTAAGATTTTTAAGTGTATATAGATCTGCTCTGTCTATACCATTTTTTAAATTTGAATTTCATAATTAGGATTGAGCATAGATCTTCAAGCCATTGTAAGAATTCAGACATAGGAACTATATCTTTTGATAAAATTTAAAGTGTGAACACCTTATAATCATGTATCTAGATCGGACTGATATGTATATATCTTGTCTGATTCCCAATTCCATGAGAGAATATGCTTCAATAGTTACTAGGTCGGATTTAAATCACCAATTAACAATCCAAATCGATTATTTTTTCAACTTTCATTTTTCTCTGAGTAACGAATTTATTTTTAAATATCTTGGTTTTATATATAATGAGTATTTTAATACTCATTGATTTCTAATTCGAATCACCGATTTAGATGGGAATGAATCAAGATCAAGCACGTACCAGGATGGTATAGTCCCGGGCCAACTCCCTCCTACACTATTATAAAGTAAATTCATTGTATAAGTACTTGAAGCAAAGTTCATAAATAATAATTGAAGCAAAGTTCATGAAAAATTTACATAAACTGGCCAACTGTAAAATATATTGTATTTTTATGTGATGCTTTTAGAATAATTCCTAATTCCGCTCTATGCGCAAAAAATAATGATTCAAGATTGAATTGATGTCATCCAATTTTTGGGGAGTAAGATCTAAGCGTTAGAAAACTCAAAAGTCAAGTTTTCTCGTTTGAAAATAATCATATAGGTAATTTTTGGGGTGTAAGATCTAATTATAAAAAACTCAAAATTCAAGTCTTCTCTTTTAAAAATAATCATATAGGTATTCTAGGTGGTTCCCAAATTTCAGATTTAAAAAAATTCTCAAGTTGGTATGTTGATCGAGGAAGTAAATATATGCTATCCTCCCCGCTGCTCTTAGAATAATTTAAAGGAAAAGTGTTTTGTGAGTCAGCGGACTCACTAGCCCATCGCCTTACAAATATCTATCTTTTAAATGAACCTCCACAACTAAAGATTCCAATCCAATGGTTTGAAAAAGTTTCACAAAAAGTATTTAAAATTTTTATTTTATTTTTTATACTCATGATCATCATGAATCTCTACAAATTTGGATCCAAGATCTATACCAAAAATGGGTGTTAGACGGAGCCGGCATGAGATCAGGGGACTCATAAAAACGGATCCTAATTTAAAAGGACTTTTGTGCATGAGATTCATGTATGAATGACAAATTATGCGTGTGTATGCATGTACACTGTCATGCATGCATGCATAGGCGCAGTTGTACCTACTAATAATAATACAACCATATGTTAAGGATTTCCAAACTTCAATTTCTACCACTCGAGGAAAAGTATTTCATGTGTTAGGGCTTAGGAGACGCAGGGCAATTCAATAACTGTCCCCCAATGCATCGAAGCATGATTTGAAAAAAATGCGTGCCACAATGGTGTTAAAACACATCATTTTAATTTCTTTTGTTCTTCTTTTTTTACAAATTCATGTTCACCATGGTTCAGATTCTTGACCCTAAAATTTTGACTCCAAAATTCATCTCTAAGATAGATTTTGGAAGAAAATGCATGTCAATTAATGTTAAAAAATCGACTCGGCCAAGGTACTCGGCTCTTGGCCAAGCCGAGTTACTCGGGCAAGTCCGAATAACTCGCCCAAGTTATATATATATATATATATAGACAGAGAGAGAGAAAATATCTTGTCAGCCCACGAGCTGACAGCTACAGTGTTACATATAATGCGACGACACTTTTAGAAAACCATGTTTGTGGTATTTGTATGATCCAAAATTTTGTACACATACTCTCTTTATTTCAATAATTAATCTAAAAAAAATAAAAATCAATTTGAACCCTAGATATGGTCAAAATGAGTATCCTCTAACAACAAATCTAGACCATTTGGTGAATTTCAAGATCTTCACCTTTACAATCTCAAAATCATTTTTTTATTTTTTAACATTGTTTATCTAATGATAATAAAGCCATCCAAAAATTTGGAAAAGAAAAAAATCCTTCTAAAGCTTAGATCTAAGCATCTTATCAAAATGGACGGCCTATATTAATTGGGCTAAAAAAATACTTTCTAAGTTGTGTTTTCAATTATTTTTTTTTGTGATTGTTTGTTAGAATGAAAGGGTGTATATTTTAAAAGTTGGATCAAATAAATAGCCTTAATATGGCTTTTGAAGATTGTTGCATCATATTACTATATGGAAAAAGCTTGAGTGAACCCACTAGCTCATGGAATAGTATAAGCCCAACGGCTTAGATTGAATCTAGATCCAATTTGACGAACACTAATGTCTGATAGTGTTTTAAAATTTATTTTTTTTCTACGAATCTAAATTACTTGAAATTTTAGACGTGTGTTTTTCTCATCAAGCCACACCTAATAAAAATATAAAAAAAAATAAATCACGAAAAAACAATTGATCAAAATACCCCTGAAACTTTTCGGGGAATATTTTTGTTAATTTATTTAATGTAAAATATATTTTTTGATATTTTTCGAAAATTCACCTATTTTCAATATACACAGGCTTCAAATTTCAAGTGATTAAGATTTGTAAAAAAAAAAAAATTCAAACACTACCAGACATCCATGATCGTTAAATCGGTCCAAATTCAATTTGGACCGTTAGACTCATTTTTTTCCTGTAGGCTCACCTTAGCATCTTCCTCTCTCTCTCTCTC